TGTATTTGGAGAATAGAAAATTGAGGCCCAGTGACTTTGATCGGTTTGCCCAGGGTCACTGAGCTGGTTAAAGTATACCACTTTTTTCCACTCAACTGCACTCCATTTTGCCTTGACTGAGGCTCAGTAAAGGGGACAGGGACAGATCTGTAAATGATCTAACTTTTCACTAGAGAAAATATAAATCAGTGGCCACAAAATTTCAGCCGTTCAGCCAAACTTCATCTGTCACATAATAAAAAAAATTAACTTGCCAAAGAGGGATTTGAAAATCCAAACCAGATCCTTCTCCACTCCTAAAGGAGCCAGTTCCATTATACTGCACTGAAGCCAAGTGTTTCCAGCAAGCCTGATCAGCTGCATTTTAGGGTTTGGTTGTTTGAGCTGTCACAAAAAATGAAACCTACTAGATTAATGTAATCTCTTCAGCAGAAGTTTTGACTGATGCTGCCCAAGAGGAAGGAAGAAGGAGATAGGGTTCCAAGGAGCCAGTGCCCCAGTGAGCAGAGGTTCTACACAAGGGTGTGGGGTCCCAGCCCATGGAGGAGCCACATTCAACACTGGCCTTCACACAAAATGCTGCCACTTCAGATGCGCATGCATTTGCATAGCTGCGGGCCACTGAAATCTGGAACGTTCATCAGGGAGAGGATCAGCAATCATTAAACCAAAGGCACCAGTCCAAGATCTGTCAGGGCTAAAGCATCACAGTTTTCATGATTGTATGGCAATTGTGAGAAAGGCGCAGGTCCTCCAGGGGCATGATTCTCTAAGCCAGGACTACATCATTTGTTTCATTCTTAGAATCTGAGATTTTTGCTGATGGTTCCAAATTTAAATGCTGGGGGGAGGGGTAGTATATTTATTCCAGTCAATGGAATAAGGAGAAGTTAGAAAAAAGAAATCAGCCCAAAGTTTCCTTCTGTAATTAAAAGGAAAAAAAATGAAAAGAAATTTAATTTAAGAGAATGTTTAGAGTTCTGAAAATCCCACCATGAGACTCTGCTAACATTTCTCTCCTATACCTCACCTCAATGGATAAAGGTTACTAGAGTTTATTAGCTACAGGAAAACACTGTTTACAGGAGACTTCTTCATTGTGTAGTGATCCTGCCTTTAGGCTTGTTCACCAGCCAGGAGAACTGTACTTTTCAATCCAGGACTCTTAGAACAACCTTCTCACTCATTAACTTAGCCAACTGCGTACTTCCTGTGTTTCTACCAGAGGCTCAGAGATGATCAAGACATAGTGTGCCCTCTGATATCTCATGACCTGGCAGGGGACATAAAGAAGAAAAATCAGTACTTATAATATGCTTTATAAATACAATATACTTATAATACAGCATCTGAAATTAAGCAGACTTAGATTCAAATTTCAGTTCTGCCATTTACCTAGGAAGTGGCAGATCTTGGGCAAGATTTAATGCCTTTCTCTAAATCTTCATTTTTCCTTCCATAGAACATTGGCCTCATGGAGTTATTGTGAAGATCAAATGTTCTATTGTGTATAAAGCCTTCAGCACATTGTTTGGAAAATGATAATTATTCAATAAATGTAATCTAGTATGGTGGAGATTGAAATGTTTATAGGGAGCTACAGGGGCCAAAGAAAGGAGGTTGGGAGAACAGGGGAGAGGAACAGATAATGTCAAGGAGGGCTCCCAGAACAAAGTGACAGAGGCCATATTTTGAAGAACAGGTTGAAGTCAGTAAGATGGTTAAAGGGAAAGGAAGACTGTTTCAGGAGGGAGGAACAGAATCTGCCTAATAAGCACAGTCATGACAGAAAATAGGATGTTTGAGGGACTTAGTATGGTAATAGCTTAATATGGCTGGAAAAAAAGAATGATTTCAGAAAGTGAGGCTAGAGGACGAAAGGTATTAAAATTTAAGTAAGGGCACCTGGCTGGCTCCCATCAGGTAGAGCTTGTGACTCTTGATCTTGGGGTCATGAGTTCAAGCTCCATGTTGGGTGTAGAGATTACTTAAAATCATAAAAAAAAAAATTTTTTTAAGGGAGCCTGAGTGGCTCAGTCAGTTAAGCATCTGCTTTCGGCTCAGGTCATGATCCCAGGGTCCTGGGATGGAGTCCCCACATCGTCAGGCTCTCTGCTCAGCAGGGAGCCTGCTTCTCCTTCTTCCTCTGCTGCTCCCCATGCTTGTGGGCGTTCTCTCTCTCTCTCTCTCTCTCTGTCAAATAAATAAAATCTTTTAAAAATTATTTTAAATAAATAAAAGGTAAGTAAAAGCCCTTATGCAGTGCCTTAGTTTACAGGGAAGTGGAGAGAGATAAAAATAGAAAACAAGGGTGAATAGCCTTCAAGAGCTAAAATTTGGAATCAGCACAAGGTAATCAGGTGAGTATCCTGAATGGTGTACAAAAACCCTGCACCCTTATGGTGAGCTTTAATGAGGAAACCTTATATTCTAACCACAGTGCAACAAACTGAGAAATTAGAAAAGAAAACGTAGAAGTTAGAAAACAAAAACAAACACCCACTTGAAAATTTTAAAACATGATTCTATATAACTCTTAGATTAAAAATGAAATCAAAATAGTAAGACTATTTAGGAAAGAGCTATGAACGTACTATTTACCCAAACCTGCAGGGTGAAACCGAAGTGACACTCAGAGGAAATTTTAGAGTTTTAAAGGCATCTATCAGAAAACAAGAAATACTAAAACTAAATGAATTAAGCATTCAACTCAAGAAGCTAGAAAAAGAGGGGAAAATAGACTTAAAGGAAGTTAAAAGAATAAATTAGTTAAATTGAAAACAAAATAGAATTTTTAAAAAGAGTTGATAAATAAAACCAAAGTTGTGTTTCTTTAAAATGAAAAAAAAGCCTTCCATTTGCAACAACATGGATGGAACTGGAGGGTGTTAACGCTGAGTGAAATAAGTAAATCAGAGAAAGACATGTATCATATGACCTCACTGATATGAGGAATTCTTAATCTCAGGAAACAAACAGGGTTGCTGGAGTGGTGGGGGGGTGGGAGGGATGGGGTGGCTGGGTGATAGACACTGGGGAGGGTATGTGCTATGGTGAGCACTGTGAATTGTGTAAGTCTGTTGAATCACAGATCTGTACCTCTGAAACAAATAATATAATATATTCATTGTTTAAAAACATATTGTTTAAAAAAATGATAGCAGGAGGGGAAGAATGAAGGGGGGAAATTGGA